AATAACCAATTAGGGGGCAGACACCGCGGTATGGCAATAACCAATTAGGGGGCCAGACACCGCAGTATGGCAATAACCCATTAGGGGGCCAGACACCACGGTATGGCAATAACCAATTAGGGGGCCAGACACCGCAGTATGGCAATAACCCATTAGGGGGCCAGACACCACGGTATGGCAATAACCAATTAGGGGGCCAGACACCGCAGTATGGCAATAACCCATTAGGGGGCCAGACACCACGGTATGGCAATAACCAATTAAGGGGCCAGACACCGCAGTATGGCAATAACCCATTAGGGGGCCAGACACCACGGTATGGCAATAACCAATTAGGTGGCAGGTAGACACCGCAGTATGGCAATAACCAATTAGGGGGCTAGGTGTGCAAACCTTTACGGTATTGTCATCACATTTGATAATAATTATTAAAAAATTCAGTGGGAAAGTGTCGGATTGACTAATAGGTTTTCATATATTTTATTTACAGCGTGTGCAGTTATATATCTACAACGTTACTTGTTTTTCTTTATTTAGTACTAGTTACATCAATGATATATTCGTCATTTGGCTACCTTTAAAAATGACCGAAGTGTTAACGAATTGTAATTTGAATTCAAATATAAGTAACACTATAACAAAATATAGGCAAGTGAACGATTTACATGTAGGCATTTGAAAAAGTACAAGGAGGGTAAGACTAGGTGTTCATTTGTCGCACCAACAATACCCACCAGACAAGCATTGCCCAGTTTTAATATTATATGTCTGATTAAAAAATTTCCTTCTTTAGCAACAGTTGCATTTTATTTGCGTCACCTATAAAACATTACACTGTACAGAGGTCAGCTCTAACAGTCACAGACGTTGTACAGGAGTCAAATAGAACGGTTACAATGTACACAGGTCAAACATATTGACTATTGTGTACAAACGCCAAATCTAATGGTTACACTGTGCACAGGTCAACCATAATTACTATTGTGTACAGACGCAAAATCTAACGGTTAAAATGTACACAGGTCAACCATAACGACTATTGTGTACAGACGCCAAATCTAACGGTTACAATGTACACGGGTCAACCAGAATGACTATTGTGTACAGACGCCAAATCTAACGGTTACAATGTACACAGGTCAAACATAATGGCTATAGTGTACAGACGCCAAATTTAACAGTTAAAATGTACGCATGTCAAACATAATGACCATTGTGTACAGACGCCAAATCTAACGGTCACAATGTACACAGGTCAACCATAATGACCATTATGTACAGACGCCAAATCTAACGGTTAGCATGTACACAGGTCAACTATAATGACTATTGTGTACAGACGCCAAATCAAACGGTTACAATGTGCACAGGTCAACCATAATGACTATTGTGTACAGACGCCAAATATAACGGTTACAATGTACACAGGTCAACTATAATGACTATTGTGTACAGACGACAAATCTAACGGTTAAAATGTACACAGGTCAAACATAATGGCTATAGTGTACAGACGCCAAATCTAACAGTTAAAATGTACGCATGGCAAACATAATGACCATTGTGTACAGACGCCAAATCAATACCGCTTATTGTGTATAGAGGTCTTATCTAACAATAACACTGTACAGAGGTCATATATAACAGTTATACTGTACGGAGGTCAACTATAATGACTATTGTGTACAAACGCCAAATCAAACGGTTACATTGTACACAGGTCAACTATAATGACTATTGTGTACAGACGCCAAATCTAACGGTTAAAATGTACACAGGTCAACCATAATGACTATTGTGTACAGACGCCAAATCTAACGGTTACAATGTACACAGGTCAAACATAATGGCTATAGTGTACAGACGCCAAATTTAACAGTTAAAATGTACGCATGTCAAACATAATGACCATTGTGTACAGACGCCAAATCTAACGGTTACAATGTACACAGGTCAACCATAAAGACCATTGTGTACAGACGCCAAATCTAACAGTTAAAATGTGCACATGTCAACCATAATGTCTATTGTGTACAGACGCCAAATATAACGGTTACAATGTACACAGGTCAAACATAATGGCTATTGTGTACAGAAGCCAAATCTAACGGTTACAATGTACACAGGTCAACCATAATGTCTATTGTGTACCGGAGCCAAATCTAACGGTTACAATGTACACAGGTCAACCATAATGACCATTGTGTACAGACGCCAAATATAACGGTTACAATGTACACAGGTCAACCATAAAGACCATTGTGTACAGACGCCAAATCTAACAGTTAAAATGTGCACATGTCAACCACAATGACTATTGTGTACAGACGCCAAATCTAACGGTTACAATGTACACAGGTCAAACATATTGACTATTGTGTACAGACGCCAAATCAAACGGTTACAATGTACACAGGTCAACCATAATGACTATTGTGTACAGAAGCCGAATCCAACGGTTACAATGTACACAGGTCAACCATAATGACCATTGTGTACAGACGCCAAATATAACGGTTAGCATGTGCACAGGTCAAGCATAATGACTATTGTGTACAGACGCCAAATCTAACGGTTAGCATGTGCACAGGTCAACCATAATGACTATTGTGTACAGACGCCAAATCAAACGGTTACATTGTACAAAGGTCAAACATATTGACTATTGTGTTCAGACGGTTACATTGTACACAGGTCAACCATTTACGGTAACTGGTTATATAGGATAGATATAAAGTTACACTGTATAGAGGTCAACCATAACGGTTACTGTGGAAAACGGCCTTATCTAACAGTTATACTGTATAGAGGTAATCTTTAACGGTTACTGTGGATACAGGTCTTATCTAACCTAATGGTTACACTGTGCACAGGTCAACCATAATGACTATTGTGTACAGACGCCAAATCCAACGGTTAGCATGTGCACAGGTCAACCATAATGACTATTGTGTACAGACGCCAAATCAAACGGTTACATTGTACAGGTAACTGGTTATATAGGATATATAGAGGTCAACTATAACGGTTACTGTGGATACAGGTCTTATCTAACATTTATACTGTATAGAGGTAAACTATAACGGTTACTGTGGATACAGGTCTTATCTAACATGTATACTGTATAGAGGTCATCTATAACGGTTACTGTGGATACAGGTCTTATCTAACAATAACACTGTACAGAGGTCAACTATAACGGTTACTGTGGATACAGGTCTTATCTAACAGTTACACTGGATAGAGGTCAAATATAAAAGTTACACTGTACAGATGTCAACTATTACGTTAACATGTTTTATAGGATATATATAAAGTTTCACTGTATAGAGGTCAACTATAACGGTTACTGTGTATAGAGGTCTTATCTAACAGTTATACTGTATAGAGGTCAACTATAACGGTTACTGTGGATACAGGTCTTATCTAACAATAACACTGTACAGAGGTCAACTATAACGGTATCTGGTTATATAGGATAGATATAAAGTTACACTGTACAGAGGTCAACTATAACGGTAACTGGTTACATAGGATATATATAAAGTTACACTGTATAGAGGTCAACTTTAACGTTGATTGTGGATAGAGGTCTTATCTAACAGTTACGCTGTACAGATGTCAACTATTACGGTAACTGGTTATATAGGATATATATAAAGTTACACTGTGTAGAGGTCAACTATAACGGTTACTGTGGATACAGGTCTTATCTAACAATAACACTGTACAGATGTCAACTATTACGGTAACTGGTTATATAGGATATATATAAAGTAACACTGTATAGAGGTCTTATCTAACAGTTACACTGTACAGATGTCAACTATTACCGTAACTGGTTATATAGGATATATATAAAGTTACACTGTACAGATGTCAACTATTACGGTAACTGGTAATATAGGATATATATAAAGTAACACTGTATAGGGGTCAACTATAACGCTTATTGTGTATAGAGGTCTTATCTAACAGTTATACTGTACAAAGGTCAACTATAACGGTTACTGTGGATACAGGTCTTATCTAATAGTTATACTGTATAGAGGTCATCTATAACGGTTACTGTGGTTACAGGTCTTATCTAACAGTTACACTGTATAGAGGTCAACCTTTACGGTAACTGGTTATATAGGATATACATAAAGTAACACTGTATATAGGTCTTATCTAACAGTTACACCGTACAGACGTCAACTATTACGGTAACTGGTTATATAGGATATATATAAAGTTACACTGTATAGGGGTCAACTATAACGCTTATTGTGCATACAGGTCTTATCTAACATTTATACTGTATGGAGGTCATATATAACAGTTACACGTTACGGAGGTCAAATATAACGGTCACTGTCTATAGAGGTCATATATACCAGTTACATTATACAGATGTCAGCTATAACGGTTACTGTATATAGAGGTCATATATAAAGGTTACTGTGTATAGATGTCTTATATAACGGTTACATTGTACAAATATCAGCTATAACGGTCACTGTGTATATGGGTCATATCTAACAGTTATACTGTACAGAGGTCAAATATAAGTATAACGGTTACTATGTATAGAGTTCATATATAACGGTTACTGCGTATAGCTTTCATATATAACGGTTACATTGTACAGACGTTAACTTTAAAAGCTACAGGATCTGTAGATTTTACAATGTACCATATACAAGTTACTGTATACAGAGTTCAAATTTAACGGTTACACTGTACAGAGGTCAACGGTAAAGTATATGATGTTCAAAGGTGATGTGAACTGTATAAATTAGTTGATATGCAGATGTAAAATGACATTATGTGTACAGATTCAACAATAATATCAATTTAAATCGCGAATTTAAACAAAACGTATTTGTATCGAAATTCTTTCTTATATCACTGAAGCTTCATGCTTTGCTTAAGAATAGCCATCTGAATACAATAACATTTACAGTCAGGCGGATCAATGTGCTTTCTAAATGATAAAATCATCCAGACAGACTTACGGGCTGGTTTGACCTGCCAGTTCTCGGGCAAACATTTATTCCATGTGTTGTCCGGCTGTCCTGGTTTGTCTGTCAGAATCTTATCGAACACCTGGAGACAAGCGATCCGCCCGGAAAACTGCTGTTCTGGATCAGTTGGAACGGCCCCTACCGCCAACATCCCTGAATTTGGTATCGGAATGTTGTCCTGGAAACCATCGTCTAATTGAATTTTTTTGACTCCATCTACATACATAGTTATCTCCCCATCAGTGTATCTCCGCTGGACCACCAGGTGGTTCCACTGGTCGGGCGTAAGGAGATCCTCGACGGGGATTAGTCCGGCGGGATTATCGTACTCGTCACGGAAAGACACCACAGCTGTCGTGTAGATAAAATTTAATCGAAACTTCTCGATTTCATTCTTCGCATAATAGAATAACGTTCCGCTCGGAGTACCCTCAGGATACACTAAGATTGATATTGTGAAATCTTTAAACGGTTCTTTTCGGGACAAGTTGACTTCGACATAATCCGTAGAATCTTTTGATAGAGTTAGTGCTCCTCCTGAAAGTCCAGGGTATCCTTCGCCGAGAAAGAAACACTGTCCTTCACCGGAAGCTATTATGTCGTTTCCACCAATAACATCGGTAAGGGCCGAAGTGTCGCCAAGTGGCCATTCATACAAAGGATCTCCTCTGGCTGACTGGAAAACGGCTGTGATATAAAATAAGATATTACACAATCTGGGTTACAGCTGTGATATAATATTAGATATTACACAATCAGGATTACAGCTTTGAGATAAGATATTTCACAATCTGGAATACAGCTGTGATATAATATTAGATATTATACAATCTGGAATACATCTGTGATATAATATAAGATATTATACAATCAGGATTACAGCTGTGATATAATATAAGATATTACACAATCAGAATTACTGTTGTAATATAATATAAGATATTACACAATCAGGAATACAGTTGTGATATAATATAAGATATTACACAATCTGGGTTACAGCTGTGATATAATATTAGATATTACCCAATCAGGAATACAGTTGTAATATAATATAAGATATCACACAATCAGGAATACAGTTGTGATATAATATAAGATATTACACAATTAGTAATACAGCTGTGATATAAGATAATACACAATCAGGAATACAGCCGTGATATGATGTAAGATATTACACAATCAAGAATACAGCTGTGATATAATAAAAGATATTACACAATCTGTAATACAGCTGTGATATAGTATTAGATATTACACAATCAGGATTACAGCTGTGATATAATAAAAGATATTACACAATCTGTAATACAGCTGTGATATAGTATTAGATATTACACAATCAGGATAACAGCTGTGATATAATATAAGATATTACACAATCTGGAATACAGCTGTGATATAAAATAAGATATTACACAATCAGTAGTACAGCTGTGATATAAAATAAGTTATTACACAATCAGTAGTACAGCTGTGATATAAAATAAGATATTACACAATCTGGAATACAGCTGTGATATAAAATTAGATATTACACAATCAGTAATACAGCTGTGATATAAAATATTACACAATCAGTAATACAGCTGTGATATAAGATATTACACAATACGGATTACAGCTGTGAAATAAGATATTACACAATCAGGTATACAGCTGGGAAATAAGATATTACACAATCATTAATACAGCTGTGATATAAAATTAGATATTAAACAATCAGTAATACAGCTGCGATATAACATATTACACAATCAGGAATAAAGTTGTGATATAATATAAGATATAACACAATTTGGAATACAGCTGTGATATAAAATTAGATATTACACAATCAGTAGTACAGCCGTGATATAATATAAGATATAACACAATCTGGAATACAGCTGGGATATGAAATTAGATATTACACAATCAGTAGTACAGCCGTGATATAATATAAGATATCACACAATCAGGAATACAGTTGTGATATAAGATATTACACAATACGGATTACAGCTGTGAAATAAGATATTACACAATCATTAATACAGCTGTGATATAATAAAAGATATTACACAATCAGTATTACAGCTGTGACATAAGATATTACACAATCAGGTATACAGCTGGGAAATAAGATATTACACAATCCGGAAAACAGCTACGATATTAGATATTACACAATCAGGATTAAGTTGTGATATAATATAAGATATAACACAATCTGGAATACAGCTGTAAAATAAGATATTACAGAATCAGGAAAACAGCTACGATATTAGATATTACACAATCAGGGATACAGTTGTAATATAATATAAGATATTACACAATACGGATTACAGCTGTGAAATAAGATATTACACAATCATTAATACAGCTGTGATATAATAAAAGATATTACACAATCAGTAAAACAGCGGTGATATAAGATATTACACACTCAGTAAAACAGCGGTGATATAAGATATTACACACTCAGTAAAACAGCGGTGATATAAGATATTACACAATCTGGATTACAGCTGTGAAATAAGATATTACACAATCTGGGTTACCGCTGTGATATAATATTAGATATTACACAATCAGTAATACTGCTGTGATATAAGATATTACACACTCAGTAAAACAGCGGTGATATAAGATATTACACAATCTGGAATACAGCTGAGATATAAGATATTACACACTCAGTAAAACAGCGGTGATATAAGATATTACACAATCATTAATACAGCTGTGATATAAGATATTACACAATCAGGAATACAGTTGTGATATAATATAAGATATTACACAATCCGGATTACAGCTGTGAAATAAGATATTACACAATCTGGGTTACCGCTGTGATATAATATTAGATATTACACAATCAGGGATACAGTTGTAATATAATATAAGATATTACACAATCAGTATTACAGCTGTGACATAAGATATTACACAATCAGTAATACAGCTGTGATATAAGATATTNAATAAGATATTACACAATCAGGAATACAGCTACGATATGAGATATTACACAATAAGGAATACAGTTGTGATATAATATAGGATATTACACAATCAGGAATACAGTTGTGA